TTAGAGTAAAACTAGAAAGTTGAGAACACATAATCATGTACCTCCCAGTTTACTGCTCATCTACTTTAAAAGAATTACTGTTTCCAAGGAGTACCTATTTGTTATAGAAGTGTGTGTATACATATACATTTACATTTACTAAGCTTGGTAAAATAAAGACAACATCCCAGTCTTAATCTCATGTAAACTGAGGGATGAAGAACTCAGAATGTAGGAATAGCCTTTTCATGTTATCTATTTTTGTATTATTTTTCTGGGCATAACCCAAAATTTATAGACATGATGGATGGTCCTCTTTGAGGTAACACTGAGAGAGATTGTAAAGTTTTGAATAGTTTTTGGCTTTTAAAATTTCTTATCATGATTCTAGTTAAATTCCTTATATAGTAATATTAGTTTTAAGCAGTGGTCATGGGTATTATTCCTAATTTATCCATTTGTATTTATTGAGCATCTAAAGTATACAGGACACTATGCTACAGCCTTTGGCATGAAGAAACTCACAGTCTAATGGGGAAACAGAATATAAATAATTATAAAACTGGTGTGATAAATACATATAATATAGTATGTTGGAAACAAGCATAGACTAATCTATATATAAATAAAAAGCCAGCGACCAGAACACCGTAACAGCCAGAATGATTGGTTTCTATAATGCCCACTGCATCCAGCAAACCTGTCCGATCAGGGGGTGGGGCCTGCCAGCCAACCTCCTGTGACACCCCCCCCCCCCCGTCTCCTTCCCCTGATCAGCCTCTTTCACCCCAATAGTGGGTGGAGGAGCCAGCCAACCCTCCTGCATCCCTTCCCCCTGGCCAGCCCCACCCCCAATGGGCCCCCACTACCCCAATGGGTCCACAGCCCCTCCCCCAGGCAGGCCCCACCCCTGATTGCCCCCCCACCCTATAGGGGGCAGGGATGGCTGGCCAACGTCCTGCAGCCCCTCCCTCCTGGCTATCCCCACCCCAGATGGGCCCCCACCACCCTGATTGGCCCTCGGCACCTCCCCCCAGACAACTCCACCCCCGATTGGCCCCCTCACCAGCTCTGATCAGGGACAGAGCTGGCCGGGAAACCACCCAAGTCCCCTCCCCCAGGCCACTGGCCCCCGATCAGCTCCCCCCACCCTCGAATGGCCCTCCCCCAGCTGGCCCACAGCCCACAGCCCCTCCCCACAGCCAGCCCTACCCCTGATCAGCCCCCACCACCCAGATCAGCCCGTGGCCCCTCCCTTCAGCCAGGCTGGTCTTGATCAGGCCTCGATTGGGGCGGGCCAACCAGCCAACCTTCCGTGGTCTCCTCCTCCTGACAGGTCCGCCCCCGATCTGCCAATTGAGGCCGGGCCAGCCAGAACCAACTTATGCATGAATTCGTGCACTGAGCCTCTAGTAATAGCATAAATAAGTAGACCTAGTCAGACCAAAGTGGACAAGAGTAGGAAGTCTTCTTAAAGATGACTGAACTGTGTATTGAAGAATGAGTAGATATCATCATGTGGTGAAAGAACTTGGGTGAAGGCACTGTCTTGGGAGAATCTGGCATATTTGATGATCTACAAGTAGCTAGAACAGCTTGAGAATAGGATATCAGGGAGGTATTTGAGATATGAAGCTGAAGAAAAATGAAGAACTCAGGCTATAAAGAGCCTGTATATCTTGTTGATGAGTATGAATTTTGTCTTGATTTCAATGAAGAACTATATTATTTTTGCAGGGAATTGCCATGCTTAGATATGCATTTTTGAAAATCATCTCATAACACAAGCAGCTGGATTGGAAGATACAAGCCTGGAGGTAGGCAGATCAGTTATGAGATTATGAACAGGTCTCATGAGAGGGTGGGAAGACTCAGAGGAAGAAGAATGCAATAGGGACTGCTGCAGAAAAGTCACACAAAAAATGCTTTGGAATGTTTCCATTGAACTTAGCAAAAGAGCAGAAATCTCTTTGATGGAATAAAAAGTGTGAAAAACAGAAATTAGTTCAGGAGTAAGTGGGTAATGATCAATGGAAAGAGCAAGCATTTTGAAGGTAGTTTGACTGTGCAAGGATGAACAAAAGTTAGAGGTGGATATATGGTTAAATAATTTGTCTTAAAAGGGGAGAGTCTTAAGCCTGTTTCTAAAAACTAAAGGAAGAATCAAGGGAAAAAAAAAGTAAGAATTAAGTATCAGAAAAGGAGAAGCAACCAAAAAATGCAGCAGGCAGACATGATATCCAACCCAAAGGAAAAGGACTAGCCCAGGCTCTTCCTTTCTGTCTGGCAGCAGCCATCAGGTAAGCCAAGATGGGCCCTTGCTGAGAAGTACATCCAGGAGCTATGGAGGAATAAGCAGTTTGAGGTGATGTACTTCCTTCCCAGGGTGAGCTACTGGCAGTACCGCAGGATGTCTGCCATACATAAGGAACCTCTGCCCATAACCAGATAAAGTGCACAGGGTAGGAAACAAAGTGAAGCAAGGTTTTATCATACATCAGATTCATGTGCACCCTGGTAGCCTCAAATGCCCTGTTCCTAACAGTGTAACCTCTGGCAAGCCTGTCCATTGTGCTAAAGTTTTCTTGAAGCCTTCAGTCTGTTGCCAAGAAAGGAGCTGGATGCCACTGTGGGGGCTCTGGGGATCCTGAATTCCTTTTTTAATTTAAATATATTTTTATTCATTTCAGAGAGAAAGGGAGAGGGAGGGACAGAAACATCAATGATTAGAGAGAATAAGTGATGGGCTGTCTCCAGCATGCCCCCTACTGGGGATGGAGCCCGCAACCCAGGCATGTGCCCCAATCAGGAATATAACTAACTTCCTGGTTCATGGGTCCACGCTCTACCCCTGAGTCACACCAGGTAGGCCTGAATTCTTACTGGGTTGGTGAAGAGTCTACCTACAAATTCTTTGAGGTTATCCTCATTGATCCATTCTATTCCATAAGCCTATCAGAAGGAATCCTAAAACCCAATGGATCACCAGACCAGTCCACAAGCACAGGAAGAGGCGAGGGCTGACATCTGCAGGTCTCAAGAACCCTGAAGCTTGGAGAATGCACAATACTCTCCAGCTCCATCATAACCACTAATATAAATAACTAGTGACCTGATGCATGGATTCGTGTACTTTGAATGGAAATTAATTAGAAGGTGGCCAGTGGAACAGGATTGGGGAAGATGGGCCAGACACATTCTGGAGCCAACCTCCTGCTGGCTGCACCTGGGGTGGCACCATGGCTCAAAGGGCATCTGCGGAGTGAGTGGACTCCCTCAGGGAGGTGGGATCCCTCAGCCTGTCTTGTGGGGATCGGGCAGAAACCAGCTCTCCGACATCCCCCAAGGGGTCCCAGAGTGTGAGAAGGCACTCTGCAAAGTTGCTGTCATACAGGGTGTGGAATGCAGATGCAAGTGTGCAGTAAACCAGATTCGGGGCCGACAGTGCCCCAGCAACAACATAGCCCACAGCCAAAGGTGGAATCATGCAGCCCCGTGAGGAATTGGGCTCCCTCCTCTCTGGTTTCTGGGTGTGTCACCCAAGAACAGATGCTGCCAAGTCACTTCAGCTTGGCAGCTCCTGCATTGAGTGACTTCCCCCTGGTGGTCAGTATGTGTCATAGCTACTGGTCAGATGGACACTTAGCATATTAGCCTTTTATATATATACTAAAATCTGTGCACTTGGGGGTGGGGGGGGGTGAGGGATGGGGCCAGACCCCTCAGCCTGACCTGCACCCTCTGTCATGTTCCAAGACCCCGGCCACTCCTGGCATAGGCACAGGCCTACAGGCTTGAGGTGGCCTGGCTTCCGAGGCTCCATTTTATCAAGAGAACAAAGTCGGCATTAGTTACAGCCCTCACCGAACCCGGTACTGTGCATCTGTGCGTACAACTGCCTCGTTCATGTGCCTGCTTCGACCTGCTGAATTACTAACATCTTGAGGACATAGCTCTGTCTTATCCTGCTTCAACTTCAGTGCCTGGCCTGGTGCCAGGGACCTGAGAGGGTTTGCTGAGTGAGTGAGTGAGTGAGTGAGTGAGTGAGTGAGTGAATAATGAGTGAGTGAATGAGTGAATGAATGAGTGAGTAAGTGAATGAGCAAGCAGCTATGGGGCGGGAACTTCTGCCACGTTGCCATGGCTCCCCTCTCCCAGCTGCATAGTTTGGGCAGGGCAAAGGCGGCCCAGGTTCTCTGCCTTTGCCCTGCCACCCGGCTCTTGCCTGCCGCCTGGGTTTCCAATCACCGTCAGCGGCAGGTGGCTTCTTTCATCCTTCCCCTTTTGCCTCCCATCATCGTGCCTACATATGCAAATTAACCACCATCTTTGTTGGCAGTTAACCGCCATCTTCGATGGCAGTTAATTTGCATATCGCCCTGATTAGCCAATGGGAAGCATAGTGGAGGTACAGTTAATTACCCTTTTTGTCTTTTATTAGATAAGGCTAGAGGCCTGTTGCATGAAAAGATTCGTGCAATAGGCCTTCCCTTCCCCTGGCTGCTGGCACTGGTTTTCCTCTGGCACCTGGGACCCAGGCCTTCGCTATGGTTGGAGCTGCCTTCAAGCCTTCGCTCCGCCACTTCAAGCCTACTTATGCAAATTAACTGCCATCTTTGTTGGCAGTTAGTTTGCATATCTCACCGATTAGTCAATGGGAGGCGTAGCAAAGGTACGGTCAATTAACATGTTTGTCTATTATTAGCTAGGCTATATATAAATGTTTGTAAAATTCTTACCTAGTGAATAATTTAGGACAGTAAAAAATAAAAGGGACTAGCCCCATACATGAGGTGGAATATATGAGAAGTAAAAGAAAGCCAAAGAAGATATAAATGTGTTCTAGGGCTGGGTAGAAAGTAACTAAAAAAAATTTTGTTTCATATGTTTGTGTGCATGTTATATTTGAGGTCTTCTACTTTTATCTCAAGGTGGAAGATCAGGCTGTCTGTTAAGAATAAAAGAACATATCCTATATAATAAAGAGGTAACATGCAAATTGACCCTCACGCCCTCACAAGATGGCTGCCTATGACCAGGACGGCAGAGGGGTGAGTGAGGAACGACCAAATGACTGAACAGCAGGCTATGTGGAGTGACCAGGCCAGCAGGGGTGCAGTTGCAGGTGACCAGGCTGGCAGGGGGGCATTGGGGGCAACCAGTTAGGGGCAACCAGGCCGGCAGAGGGGGGAAGTTGGGGGCAACCAGGCCGGCAGGGGGAGGCAGTTAGGGGCAACCAGGCAGGCAGGCAGGTGAGCAATTAGGAGCCAGCGGTCTAGGATTATGAGAAGGATGTCCGACTGCTGGCAGTTGGACATCCCCCGAGGGGTCCCAGATTGGAGAGGATGCAGGCTGGGCTGAGGAGACCCCCCGCCCCCCATACACCAGGCCTTTAGTGTTGGAATAGGAAACCTGAGCAGTGTTAAAAGAGTGAATAGGGGTGTAAGAGGAAGCAAAATAACACCACAAGAAATGATTGTCGCTGAAACCGGTTTGGCTCAGTGGATAGAGCGTCGGCCTGCGGACTGGGGGGTCCCAGGTTCGATTCTGGTCAAGGGCATGTGCCTGGGTTGCGGGCACATCTCCAGTGGGAGATGTGCAGGAGGCAGCTGATCGATGTTTCTCTCTCATCGATGTTTCTGACTTTCTATCTCTCTCCCTTCCTCTCTGTGAAAAGTCAATAAAATATATTTAAAAAAAAGAAAAAAGAAAAAGAAATGATTGTCGTCATTCCTGAGGATATTGCCAAGGTTAGAGGTTGTACATTTGTAGTAGCACTAGCTTCTTGATTTCTGTGTTTTCTCCAGCAGTATTCAGCAGCTTGGGTTTAGGGAATGGAGAAGTCTACAAAAGCATTGAAGCAGGATTAAAACTTCTCTGGGCATTCATGTCAGGTGATAAAGGAAGCTAAATATATTAGCTTGAATTTGGTTGTATCATGCATTGTGTTATATCACATATCATGTGATTTAGTGAAATAAGAAAGTTAAGGCTGGCTCCCCACTTCTGGCCTCATTCACTCATTCTGGCCACCTCAGGCCTTTCCACTGTTTCCGTGGGGGTTTTAATACCTGCTCCCCAGGTGGCTCTCAGCGCCAGGTCCGGGTCTTTCCCCCATTTGCCCCCAGCGGCTGGCTCCTCATCCCCAATCTCATGGAGGCTGAGGCTGGGTTCTGCCCCCCGCTGGGCAGCCACATGGGTCATTGGGGCTGCTGGCTGGGCTGCTGGTGCTGCTGGTGCTGCTGGTGCTGCTGCTGCTTGTTCTGGGACCCGGAGTAGCCTCCAAAATCACCTTGGAGCTGCCCAACACTGCCAAGCAGTGTTTCTACGAGGACATCATGCAAGGCACCAAGTGCACCCTTGAGTTCCAGGTGATTACTGGTGGTAACTATGATGTAGGTTGTCGATTAGAAGATCCTGATGTTAATGTGTTACACAAGGAGATGAAGAAACAGTATAGCAGTTTTACTTTCACAGCCTCCAAAAATGGGACATACAAATTTTGCTTCAGCAATGAATTTTCTATGTTCACACATAAAACCGTATATTTTGATTTTCAAGTTGGAGAAGACCCCCCTTTGTTTCCTAGTGAGAACCGAGTCAGTGCTCTTACCCAGGTAAATAAAAAGTCAACGATATAATGCTGGTGTGTGAAACACATAGTGTGCATTAACTTGATAAACACAGAATTTTGATTTTTTTTTTAACACAATCATTAAGACTTATCTTAACTCTTACAGTAGATTAGGCATTTCACAGAGAACCTCCGACTTTTCAGTGAAAACCAGTGTTAAAAAGGATTTTATGAACTTTTAAGTGTAAAGAAAATAAGAAGTGTTACAATAGGAGGATCATTTAAGTAGAAACATAGTGGCAAAGGAAATTTAGGAAGTCTAACCAGCGTTCCAGCATTCTGAAGCATTTTCATGGAGGAATGTTGCTACCATAGCTTAGCAGATTAATATAACTGGAAGCAAAATGATGCCTTAATTAATATATAAAGATACCACAGGTGGTATACCAATATTTATGTTGTTCAAGCTACTGTTACAATAGCTTTTGCTGTAACTTCAGGTAAAATATTAAAAGATTAATAAGAAGTCATCTAACAAAAATAGTTAAGGAAGCTAAACTGGTTTTTATTTTGAAGAATAGCTTAATGAGAAAAAGATAGCAAAATAAATTTAAAGTCAGTGAACAGGTACTGCTGAGGTGATGAAAGGACTAATTTAGTTCTAGTTCAGATGCAGTATGAGCTCAGATTATATCTAAAAGATACTCAATTAAGTATTCAGAGGAATTATTTAACACCTGCTTGTTAAAACCTTAAACTGGCATTTCATTGTTTCCATGTTTCTTGGCAAAATCATGTGATGATAGGGGTAGTTTTTAAGAATGTGTAAGAACCCCTATCCGGTCTTGCTCAGTGGATAGAGCATTGGCCCTCAGACTGAAGGATCTGGGTTCAGTTCTGGTCAAGGGCACACACCATGGTTGCAGGCTCAATCCCCAGCCCTGGTTGGGGTGCATGTGGGAGGCAACCAATAGCTGTGTCTCTCTCACATTGATGTTTCTATCTATCTCTCCTTCTCCCTTCCACTCTCTCTAAAAATCAGTGGAAAAATATCCTCAGGTGAGGATTAACAACAACAACAAATTAATAAAAAAAAAAGATCATTTTACTAAATCACCATTTTTTTAACCAGTAATAAAGTGCTGGATCTAGAGTAGGCAGTAAAACCACTGCTAAAACCATCAGGTGAAAGGCAGATGGGAAACCTTATAATGGATAGATCAGACTGATATCACTAAATCTAATGATATTTCACAAATGGAGAGGTAACTAGACATGTGTCTTCTGATAATAGGCAGTAATGGAGTACACAACATTGCCTATGCAATGTTCCCACTAAGAACATTACACTTGAATCCCACCAAATCTCTGGTTCCAACTACCAGTTTATAAGAAATACAAAGGACAGAACAGCACCATGGGAATACAATTACCAAAATTCAGAAAGTGGGAAATGTTATAGAATTGAGGTCCCAATTTCTTCAATAAATGGATGAGATAGGAAAAAAGAGAGAGAACCAAAAGATTAAAGAAGACATATCAACCAAATTATTGTGTTGACATTGTTTGGGTTCTGACTTGTAAACAACTTTTGAGGCATTTGGGGAAATTTGAATACTAATTTTATATTTGATATAAAGGAACTATTTTTAATTTAAAGTGTTACTTTTCAGAAATAAATATGAAGTATAGAAGTAAAAAAAAGAAAGTTAATAGAGGAACAATTGATAAATTTGGAAAAGAGATAAGAGGTCTAGATTACTCAAGTCAGAAAACAGTTTAAATAGTAGTAAGAAATATTATAAACAATTAAAATGAGAATCAGAGAATAAGGATATTGAAACTTATGATTTTGTACATAAAATGCTTGAGACCATTAAAAATGACTAGGATATAGGCTGTGGGAGTTTGAATACAAAAAGAAGCACAGGTTGTCAAAGCTGAGGAAATTAAAAATTTATGAAGTTAAATGGATCAAACAAATGGGCACAGAAATGAAGCCAAGTAAGACAGTAATAGGACCTGAGTGGAGTGGAAGTTTTGGAAATTAATGTGGTGGTGGGTTGTTAGAAGGTAATATAGATGAATGGAAATATGCTAAAAGACGGAGTTTTTTTTTACTAGGGTAGAGGAGCTATGATTTGGAATGGCAATGTGAAGCTAAAAACACACAAAGCCACTGTTAAATCCTGTGATCACTGAGCCTTTGAGAAAATGACCAGCCTCCACTTGAATGCATTTCAAGGGAAGCAATGTCTCTATAGAGAAAGTTGAATTTTAATTAAAGCAAAGAAATGGAGTGAATGTCCTGTGACGGGTTTCCCAGAATTCACAGTAGAAAATTTGGGGAGGGAAGAAAATTTGATTCAGAAGTCAGGCACAGAGAAATATGAAGATGAGAGAATGGAAAGAATAAGTAACTAAAGGTTTTCCCCAAAAGAACAAAATTATTTTGTAGTTGCCTATTGTCTTTCCTTGTTGTTCTTATATAGATACAAATAAAGGGCTTCCAAGATATCCTAATCATTCTCCATAGAGTTCAAAATAGTTATTTCTAAGGTCACCTCCAACAAGAATTAATTATTTGACTTAGGGCAGAGACTGAATGTAAATAAAAGCAAAACAGCCTCTGATGTTGTAAGGAATGAAATAATTTCACTTTGAACAAAATTAGAATCTTTTCTATAAAGAAAACTGACCAATGTCAATTTTTAGGGTTAGTCATAAAATTTAGAAAAGGCATTTACTTAGCTGTGCCTTTTTCAGTAAAAATCAAGTGCTGTCTTCAACAGGTGCACCTCCCAAGAGATCGATAAAGTCAATGAGAAATCCAATATCTGTATGTTAGTAAAGATATGGGAAGCTTGATAGGTCTTATGGGACTGAACCACTAGTTAAAGATTCTAAAACATAGTAAATGGAGTGTAGATGCCAAATATCTCAAGAGATCTTTCAGGAATCAAATGTGAAAGATGGAGACAAATTTATAAAATTGCTGCTGGCCTAGACCTGAATTTCCAGAAGATGGGAAAGGAATATCATACAAAGAAGAAAAAAAGAATAAAGAATATTTGCACTTTTTGCAAAAGAACATGAAACTTGCTGAAGAAGGACCTTAAAATGTATAAATGAATGCATTTTGGAAAAAAAATATCCTTTTGGTATTATAAAAACTCAATCTTTAATAGCTACTATTATGACTGCCAAACCCTAATTTCAAAAATTATTATTGCTATTTTAAAAAGATAATGGTTTAAGCACATTTAAATTAAGAGAAAGTATTTTCAAATTTAATTTTATTAAATACTCAAATTTGACTTTTGAATATGTATCTATGATCAGATATTGCTGTTTGTAGGTCCCATCATCCTAATGATTTCTTTATACCTGCTATGTGCTGCAATTTACACATACTAACGGTGGCTCCTCTTAGAATCCAATATGCCTCAGAATCCTCTTTTTCTCATCCATGGGTAATAAACTATAGTCCCCCTTTGTTAGAATCCTTAAAGAAGGAATATTGCTTACTTAAAGTAAAAGACCAACTTAAATGTAATCCTTTTGTCTCAGTAAATGGGCTCACCCTACAACTCTAAAGTATTAAGAAATTTAACACAGTTTTACACAGAACCTGGCTGGAGATCCTGGATAGAACCAGGCAGGAGAACTTTGCTATGCCGATCAACTGAACGCTGTCTCCATGTCATTCCTTCACTGACTCTGTCCACACCTTTGGGAACCCCTGGACCTGTTGGGGTTGGACCCCAACAGAAGCAGGATGAGGGGCCACAGAGACCAGTGTGGAGACTGCATCGTAGTACAATTTAAAGGGAGCATGAATATCTTTATTCATGAGCCTGGATTCCTGAGAATGGTGCCTATATTCCTATTTCTTAAGCACTCTCGTTAATTACAAAACACTCAAATACCTATTTGGCCTGCAGTTAGTACCTGGTCTTCTGCAGCCTAGAGTACTTTATAATCATTAGCTCATTATCATTAATCAAAAAGCATCTTAGCGCATCATGCTGCGGAGTTACCACTGAGTCCATTCTGAAACCCAACGATCTGCCTTGCTTGGAGCAAGCCTCCCTTATGGATGGATGGCTTTTGTGCCACAGCTGACATGGCCCTCCCACACCTGACCTCATCATTTCTGATCCATAAGTTTGGCTGGCTTTGGTCCTCCTGCCAGATAAGAACCACTGTGCCATTGCTTCCTTTCTGGGAATGGCGTTTTGTCCCTGCTTGGCTTGATTTTATGTTTAAGGACCAATGCCTAGCCCCCCCCCCCCCCCCCCCCCCCCCCCCCCCCCCCCCCCCCCCCCCCCCCCTTCCTCCAGTGAATGTCTAAAGCTTTTTGGAGCCCCCCATCGGGTGACCTCCGCCTGCCGGGGCCATTTTTCTTGAAAGCTTCTCTTGAGCCCTGACAGGACTGTCCATTCGGAGCAGGAGAGCTTGGCAGACAAGCCCCTGGATTGTTGTGGGAGACCTCGGGTCGCTCTGGGGCGGAGCGCGCCTTTCAGGAACCCGGGAGGCTGGGACTTGAATTCCGATGAGAGGGGAACACTCGGGAACACTCGGAGAAAGCAGGCCTTGATGTATGCCCCAGTGGACAAAAGCTGCTAGTGTCAGCTTGATTTGCAAGATCAACATTCATGAGTTCGACTGCTTAGAAAGGGGGATTATCTGCAAACTGGGGCCTGAATAGAAGCCATAAATAAGTGATTTCACACTAGCAAGCAGGAAGAATATTTCCCCTCCTAAATTATTCCCAACAGCATGTTCAGCCCCCCCCCCCCCCCCAAAAAGAAATTTAACACAGTTTAAAAGTGGGTAACACAGTGTGAGTCCAGACTTAACTAGATTTACAAACTGTGAAATCAGGGTGTTACAGAGTCTTAGTCACATCTTTCTAGAGGCAGCAACAATTGTACTGCATGTGGTTCTTTCAGATGTTCTGATCTAGTTTTCTATTATTGAGAGGTGATCCTTGAACCTGTAATAATGGCATATCTATTTCTTGTTCATATTCATGAGCAGCATTAAATAAGGTAAAATCTCCAA